TGGTATTGATATAGTAATTTATGATTTTTTAGTTATTCAAAAGTATATATAAAACCTTTAAAATATTTTGTTTTATGTCCTCTACAAGCAAAATTTTTAAAGGCTTAGCAACCGAGTACAAAGGTCATAACTAGAAAAGATAATTGTTTGCTTTACTTCTTTATTTACTGTTCTATGTTTTAGGAAACATAACTAAGAACTTATTTCAAAATAACAATAATCTATATACATATATAATGCATAATAATTGAAATGTGACTGTTTTACAAAATACTAGTCAACTAAAACACAGTCAAGACAAGTTATTTTGTACAGACCAAAGGTCACCTTTATGTTATATGATACGTTAACATGAGTGCACATGAGCCGTGTTGTTGTAACTTCTGTATTGTTAGCCAGGCATGGGTGAAAGGTCAATATAATAAAAATAATAAATATATATAAATGTATAATGTTATGAGATTCATCTAAACATTTATGTTTTCATGTTATAATCTATGTTCATTCTAGAATGAAAGATTCATAATTTATGTTTATTAGCTAATTTTTTATGGTGGTTGCAAGATCGGTCAAATTTACAGAGATTAATTACTGAAAATAAGAGATAAAATATAAAGTTTTTTCTTAAGAAATGTTTGATAACTATCCGGACATTATATAGATTTTGCATGTGAAATTTCAAAATTTTCTGATACATAAAAGTATTTTTAATCTGAAAATGAAAATTACTTTGCATGATAGACAGGCAAGATTTGAAAAGAAAAAAAAAAGCACAAGAGATACATTGCTTTACAAACCTTAAGACTTAATAAAAAATAAAAACAAAATTAGATATTTTGCATAAGAAAGCATTGTAATGTTTACTGATAAACTACCAAATTTTGTTAACATTTGCTTACTAATTTAAAAGTTATAGCATGTATGAGGTAGGTCCCAGGGACCGAACCCGGGTTGAAAGAGTTAAGAGACTGATCAATCAGAACACCAAAATTATTTTCTTTCATAATGCTGTTAAGGCTATTCCCATCATATTTATAACTGAAATTATAATAACCACTGTATTATCTTGCATTTATCATAATTAAAAGCTATATTCCATTTTTGACCCAACTTACCAAATAATCTGTCTTTCTATAAAGCAGTAGCACCCTCCTCATCGCCAGTAACACCCAATACCTCACTATTATCGATACATTTAATTTATTGACCCATTTATAACAACCT